GGGGAGGCACTTAGTAATCTCATTTGACAAACACTTATTAATGTATGAAAAGGCATCTTGACTATCCAGAGGATGCTGGCGATGGAAATGTTGAGGTGAATTGTACTTTGGTATTTAGGAAATCATAGTTTGATAAAGATTATGAAGATGATGTCAATGATTTATTGACAATGTTTGCTGATTATCAACAACAGGCTTTCTTTATGGCTCTTTACTTCCCCAACCCTTCCTGAAATACATGCACATGTGTCTATACACACACATAGAGCTTATATACAAACCCTTTATTTAAGTTAGTTTAATCCCTACAAATTATGAGTTGGCTCCTATTAGTAGCCTTATTTTATAGAAAAGATACTATAAAAGTCAGAGAGGAACTATAAAATTAACACAACTAGTGATTGTCATATTTGCAATTTAAGACCAGATCTTTATTTCAATACTCATGTTGCTTCCTGCTATATTTTCTTTAGTTCAATGGTTCTCAACAGGGGATGATTTTGCGCCCAGGAGACACTGAAAAATGTGTGGAGACAATTTTGTTTGACAGACCTGGGGTGGCATGCTATTGGTATCTTGTGGGTGGAGGCTAAGAATGCTTCTTAACTTCTGAAAATGAAGAGAATGTCCTCTTCTTCAGCAAAGAGTTATCTGGCCCCAAATAGCAATGGTCCCAAGGTAGTTGGTTTAGTTGTGTAGACAGACAACCACAGTTGTTATTCTAGTTCTTTGAAAATTGGATGAATTATTTGAGTAGAGGTATAAGTGGAGCATAATAGAATAAAAAATAACTTTTGCCTTAACTGTGTGAGAAGGCATTGTGGGCGAGATAGGATTTAAGCTTTTTTTTTTTTATGGTGACTAGAAATGTGGGTACTATAGATCTCGTGGACTGAACAGTCAGAGCTAGAGATTCCTAGGTAAGCTTAGTACTAGATTTTCTTAAAAGACAGAAGCCCTTTTAAAATAAATTCTTATTCTGTCTCCAAATATATAAAACTAATAAAAACAGAGCAGGTCTAATTGATTTGACTGCAGGAATTGAAGCAGGTTACCTGCTTGGCTTCTTTTTTTCCACACCCTCTCCTCAAACACTCAGGAATCTGCTATCCCAACATTATTAATAAGAGCACTCCCTTTCTTTTCAAAAGTATCCTGGTTTGATGATAAATTATATTGTCACCCACTCTATGAGGGAATCCAGTAATCTAAGGAATGTGGTTTGAAAATTACTCTGATTTTTTCTCACTATCTTTAGAAAAAAAGGAACACATGTCCTTGCCTAAATATTAGAATTTTATTGCTAATAATGACAACAGTATTTTATAGGAGAGAGGACTTTAGGGCTTGTTAAGCAACCTAAGTCCAAGGCCTTGCTCATCTGCTTCCTAGCTCTTGGGCCCTCAGTTTACCTATTAGATCTCCTCTGTCTTGCCTCCAGTGCTGAGCATATTTTCCAACAAAAGTTTATTGAATTTGTTGATTTCTAACCCCTACCCTGTATCCTGTCTTGTTTAGGCTATTAACTTCACTTATGAATATTGTTCTTGACTTCTGGATCTATAATTATTATTATGGAGTTTTTAACTCTAGACATGAATTTTTTATCTGTATGTTTCTTTATGGTCCAGGCTCAAGTATCCGGCTGGCTACTGTAAATCTCTAAGAGGCTTACTGGTTAGACACTTGAAAAATACATCTAAAATAGAATTCTTGATCATGGTACCTTACCACCTCCAATCGCGACTCCCACAGGCTTTCCCAACTCAGTAATGATATCACTACCTACCCTATTGCTCAGACCAAAATTCTAGATGTCATCTTTGGTTCCTCTGTTCTCTTCACCTCCTATATTCAATCATATCAGCAAGTACTGTGGCTCTACCTTGAAGAATATCCCCAATTCAATCAGTTCTCATGTTCTCAGCTGCTATCTGGTCCAAGCCACCATCACCTCTTCCCTGAATTACTGAAGTGATCTCCAAACTTATCTTCTTGCTTCCATTCTTGACCCTAACAGCGACTTCTCCAAACAGCAGCCAGAATTATTTTAAAAAAACACACACTACCACCAAAAATGCCCTTAATATCACTTCAATCCAAAGCTCTTAATATGCCCCCCAAAATTCTTCATGCCTAGTGTTCCTACCTCTTTCTTTTGGTTACTATAAGCTAGTCTTACAGGCTTTTTCTGTGTTCCTTAAGTGGACTAACCCCATCCCTACCTCACAGCCTTTGCAGTGCTATTATTTTCTTCCCAGAATACCTTCTTTGAATAATTGCTACTTTTTCATCATTTAGACTTCAGTTCAAGTTTTGTTTCCTCAAAAAGACTCACCCTGAACACATTATGTGGTCTATCCCTTTACCACATTTTATTTTCTTCTTAAAATTTATAAAATTGCTGGTATATACTTTTACTTTTTGTCTCATACCACAAGACTATAAGCTCCATGAGAGCAGCTCCTACTCGCAGCAAAGAGAACATGCCTGGAATATAGTGTAGGTGCTTCGTCACTATTTCTTAAATGATTTTAGATACACTTTCATCTGGGAGTGACAGAGTTAGTTTGCAGCACTGATAGAAATAATTCATGTGAACACAAAATTAAAGCAGGTGAAAAAAAATGGCCCCGGGTAAACTTATATAACTGATAAGTAAACTGAAAAATTACGTATTATTTTTGACATTCAGAAGCAAAGTTTTGCCTGAGGAAAGTTAATCTTAGTAGAGTTAAACACAAAATTAAGTTAGCTAAAATCAAACTCAGAAAACAATATTACACGTAATATCAGAAGAAAATGTATAATGGCTAAATTTGAAATGGACAAAAATAAAATTTTTGTTGTAAAAGATGCAAAGAAAATAATACATTCAGAGGAAGGTTTTAGAGGAAAAATACAAATTAAAATGGAAAAAAAATGGTTTCACTGATTTGTATGGAAAATTATTCAATTAATTCATTCAATGGTCTGGGTTTAGTCTTAAAAACCCATATATATTAAGGTATGCTAGCAAACTCTATGCTGTCTTATTGTCAGTGACTAACATTTTTTCCTGATATTATCTTAGAAACAGAATTTAATGCTGTTTTCAAAAGAGTAAATGGAGGCTCTTAAAGGGAAATAAAATGACAATGTCACATGGATAGCAAATTACAAGATTAATTTGCATGGCTTTTTTTCTCTTATTTTTTTCTCAGGTGTGAGGACAACTAGTAATAATAGATAAGTTCTAAATTTTAGGGTTTTTGTGTGTTTTTTTCTAATAAGGTAACTAAGCCTAATATGGAGAAATGGTTTTCCCAAGAGCAACTTGATATAATATTAAGAATCTAGGATAAAACCTATATAGAAACTTAAATTGTGGTAAAAGACTACAGGCTTCTCCTCCTTTATTGAATCATCACCCTTGTCGTAGTTCTTTAAAGCAAAGATTGGCCTCCTGATGGAGAAATGGGAAGAATAATTTATATAGTATGCTCAATAATTTGAATTGATATTGGAATATACTCTAAGAATTTTAATTTAGATTCATGATCCAGTTGCCTAGGAAACAGATTCAGGTCTCAATGTGAGTAGACCCTATTCCAAAGATTTTTTTAAAAACTATGATACAGGAAGTAGGATGACTTTGGGTAAGTCATTTTCCTATATGAGAATTGGTTTCTATCAATTTCTCAATCACATTGGTCATGTGGCCATAACTGAACCAGTCTCTGTAACCAGAGGAATGGATTCCTCTGAGTAATTAAGCCTGAGTCATGTGCTAAAAATCAGCTCCACTTAAACTATTTGGACTAAATGGAAGAGAGTGGTCCTCCAAAGGAAAATTGAGATACTCTTTTTAGAAGAAGAATCTTTTTTTTTTTAATTTTTAAATTTATTTTTGTTTAAAACATTATAGATGTCCCTTTTTCTCCCCAATGACTCGTTCCACCCCGTCCCATCCCCCTCTTCAGTACCTCTCTCCACCATTGTCCGTGTCCTTAGGTTGTGCATATATGCACATAAATTCTTTGGTTACTCTCTCCCCCTCCACCCACCCGCCCTCCTCCATCCCTCTGACATTCGTCAGTCTGATCCATGCTTCCATGTCATTGAATCTATTCTGTTCATCAGTTTATTAAGTTCTTTAGATTCCATGTATAAACGAGATCATGTGATGTTTGTCTTTCTCTGCCTGGCTTATTTCACTTAGCATAATTTTCTCCAGGTCCATCCATACTGTCCCAAAGGGTACGAGATTTTTCTTCTTTATAGCTGCGTAGTATTCCATGTGTGTATATGTCCCACAGCTTTTTTATCCACTCATCTACTGATGGGCACTTGGGCTGTTTCCAGATCTTAGCTATTGTAAACTGTGCTGCTATGAGAAGAAGAATCTTAAATGGTGGAAAGGATACTGGGTTGGAAAAAACAGCAGCTGTCAAGTAGGCCCTCCCTAACCTTATTTCACTAGTTGAAACCCTATTAACCCATAAAAGATTGTCTTTAGAGTCACCTTTTTCAGTCATTCCTGATTCTCTGAGTATGTGTGATTTCTCCCTCTTTTGTGTTCCTTTAGCATCTTGTGCTTCTTTTTTGCTATTTATTTTTGTGAACTTTGTATAATCATTACAAGTTTATTTCTCAGATTATTATAGTATCACTTCTCAGGGCAGAGGCTACATCTTTTTCATCTTTAATTCTTCAGTAGCACCCAACAGGTGTCTCATTCATAACAGACTATCAGCAAATATGTGTTAAACTGACTTTTTAATGTTGCACAAATTATGAATAATAAAAATAAACAAGATAAGGCAGATGATTTTATGTACATAATTTATCAACTGATTAACTTACTAAAAGACTAGCAAAAACAATGTTAACAATTCTGAGAAATGATTCTTGTTTAAGAAGTAAGAATAACTGTAGGTCCCAAGAGTGGTCAACTTTTGTAAGAACTGGCTGGGGCCTAATCTGCATTCACTAACTCTGTGCCTTCTCTTCCTCTTCAGTTGTCTGGGTTTACATCTAAGCTTGTTCCAGCTGTCCAGAATGCCCTCAAGAGTTCAACTGGATCTGGAAGAGGAAAGGAACTGATGTTGTTAACTGAGCCCATTTTGATTGAGACCTACATGGGACTGATGTCATTCATTGGAAACCGCAACAAACTTGGCTATTCCCTTGCCCGTGGGAGTATTGGTTTTTGAGACTCTTTTTGACATATGAGTACAACATCCATAGATATATCATTATTGAAGATTCTGGTTCAGCCCCCCATATTTTTGAATTGAAACAATACTTTTAAAAAGTGTTACATGATTTTGAATATTTAGTATCTTAGGAAATCTAAAAGCTTGATTAGACTGATAGAGGTACCTTTCAGACCTTATGTACGGATAATCAAATTTACTAAAACCAGAAAATAAATTCTCCTATGCCCATTAAATAATGTTATCAAGTGAATATCTGATCATAAACTCAAGACAAGCTCTCTGGGTTCTCTTTCTTCTGTCCTCTAAATGTAGGCATTTTTTTAGGTCTTGACCTTCAGCCCTCTGATCCTGATCTTCTCTCTCATTGGGTTCTCACTGTCTGTATTATTTTAGCTACTCTTCTTAAGAGACTGACTTCCAAATATACATTTGCATCCCTGATATTTCTTCAAGATTCAGCTTTACATTTGTGTATGCTGACCATCTATATCAGTGTTCCAATGGCCTCTCACATTCAGCATCTTCAAATTCTTGGATTTCTCTGTGGTCCATTTTTATGGACCCAGGCATCATCTTGAAATTCATCAGTTTTAATTTCTTTAAATTCCTTGCCAAATACATTCCATGTCGTATCTCTCTTAGTCTGTTTGGGCTGCTATAACAAAATACCACAAATTGGGTAGCTTATAAACAACTGAAATTTATTTCTCACACTTCTGGAGGCTGGAATTCTAAGATCAAGGTGCCAGCATGGTGTTCTCTTGACCTTCTTTTATAAGGGCATCCATCTCATTCACAAAGACTCTGCCCTGAGGAACTAATCACTGCCCACTGGCCCCACTCTAGGCTTTAGGATTTCAACATATGAAATTCTGGGGGACACAAACATTCAGACCATAGAAGTACCACATCTGTATGTGGCTTAGCATTATACCCCAATGCCCAGATGCCAAACTGTTCATTCTTCTTTCAAAATTGTTCATACACCACTTCTTTCCATTCTCACAGGTGTTTTATTAGATCAATTTTTTAATTCTGTTCAATTGGAGAATGGCCATAACCTGTTTTTTTTTTTGTGTGTGTGTGTGTTGTTTTTTAAAGTTCATAGCGTTTTAATTGGGATTCTCACCCCAAGGCTGAATGTCTTCTGATCCATTCTGCTCTTGGCTGCCAGATTCCTAAAGCACAATTTGATCATATCATTCCCGCCTCAAGAATTTTTGATGGCTCATTTCTGTTTGCAGTTTTTTATTCAAACTTTTTTTTTTTTTTAAATAGCAGATCCTTTTGTTCTAAAGGATGTCCAGTATGTAAAACAGATAGGAGCAGGCTCACAATGATTGACGTAGAGGTGGGAATGCCACTGGTCTCCTTCTTTTGGGGTCTCAGAGCAGGTCCCTGTGGAATATTTATGGATCCCACAGGGTTCTAAAGTACATCCAAACTCACTCTGTTTCCATTGCTCATTTTACTTTTATTTCTTCTTTGTCCCTCCTTGACTGATGTCTAATTTTGAACAACTTCAGGAGATTATCTCATCTTTTCTCAACTTTTTGAGTTTCTTGTATTTTTAAATTTTATCTTATTTTTAATTTATTTTGAAGAGAAATTTTGAATGTTGAACACCATAGACATTATTATAATCAGCTTTTTGCCTGTCCCAAGAATCAGAGTTGAGAAACCTTGGTAAGGTATTCAGATGAAAATTTTCAGGTAATATTTTTGCTTAAGTTGCGCCTATTTTTGAAATCTTCTCTTTCAAAAACTTACTTCCTCATTTCCTAAGATTTGTCCTCTGATACATTTACAAACATCAATTTGATGGAGGCATTCAAAACCCAAGCCTTGAATAAACCTCACTTCATTTTATCTTTGTTTACTTCCATTAGTATTTCCCTCCCCTTCTTTCCCCTTCCCAGCATCCACTTTTCCCCCACATGATGGCAAATATTGTTACAATCCCCAAGGCAGGGAACTTCTATTCAGACTGTAAAAGGAAATGTTGAAATTCTTAGCTGTCCTGTCAACAGTAGTGGAATGAAAAGTCGTTGGATTGTTTTGGCAGTGGTTCTGAAGTGCTCATAACTGGCAAATTATTATAACACTGTTGCCTGAAAATCCCCATTTGCCTCAAGATAGTGGCATTTGTTGGCAGAAGCCTCTGAAATGTCCAGCCCTTTCTCTTCAGTTACCATTTAAGGGCCAACTTGACAATTGACTTCTCTCTGCACACTTGTCCTTTTTGTAACCTACGCTGGACTGTTCCCAAATGACCTCCTAAAGGATACATTGTAACATCATCAATGGAATCAAATCAGAAAAAATTAGAGGAGGTTGATGTCTCTGAGCCTTGAGGTCCAGTCTGTAAAAATTAGACATTTAATCACACTGAAACTGTTCAGTCTGGAGAACTCAGAGATGACATGAGAACTGTCTTCACATTTCACAAAGACTCTCCTGTGGGATATGTCATAAGGTGATAAATGTGATCTAGAAAGCAGGATTATTATGATCAGAGGATGAGAGAGTACAAGAATTTGGATTGTAATTTAAGACAAGAATAAGTTTATTACAATTAAAAATGTCCAAAAATAGAATGGGTTGCTCCTTGAAATAGTGAACCCCTTAATCGCTTAATGTGTTCAAGGGGATTGCTGAAGAGATAATTGATATAATCCTTTAACTTATGATTTGTATGATTCTCCAAATAACTTTTGCTATTGATTAGATAACTAGACTTTTTGTTTGGAGAGTTAAATCAGTCAGGTGAGACCCTGGGAAATTACTTTAACTTCCCTAAGGTTTAATTTTCTCATCTGCAAAATGGAGACAATAATACCTCTTCTGCTTTTTTCATAAAGGTCTTGTGAAGACTTAATGAAATGAAGTTAAATTATCTTATTAAAGAAAAAGCATTGAGTACCTGCTTGTGGAGTGGTGTGACTTTTGCAGCAAGAAGTGGGGCAACATCCAAAAAAACAAAACTCATTTCTCCCTGGGAATGGTTTCTTGGTCACTGTGAACCCAATGACTATCATTTTCTCAGGTGACACTTTATGTTGACACTTGGGCTCCTTGTCCTTAAGCTCAGCAAACATCCACAAACCATAGAGCCTATATGTACACCTTGGATTTTCCTTCAGACTCTCATCTGAAATATACCAGTGAAATTTCCAAAAAGGTCATCATAGGTTTGATTGGGAATCGGATTAGATACAAGAGGCATTTAGAACAAAGTCTATCATCATTAAAACATCATAGTTGTCTGTCTTCTTTATCTGATTTTTATCCCATTCAGGAATTCCCACTAGAAAATCCCAAGACATCTCCTTTCAGAAACTGCTTGAACATCTCTATTGAGAGCTCACTCACAGCCTTCCAATACATCTTGGTCAATTCTTATGGTTATAAAGTTCTCCCTTCTGTTCACTTAGACTCTGTAATGCCCATCTGCCAACTTTTTTATTTAAAATTATTCTTATGCTGGAGTAGGCTCAGCTTGGGTTTCCACATCAGGATGTAGGACATTTGGGTAGAGTCAGGGTTAATTGATTCTCTACCATTTATAACAAGGTGGGTTCTCAAGAATCCCCATGCCTGACCTTCCAGTGGGCAATAAGGCCTCTTTGGAGGCCTGATATTTGGTGACCCTCAAAAGCAGAAAAAAAAAAGGATAATTTACGAGTTTAGGACCTTTTACACTGAGGCCCACTCTCATGGCCCCTTTGCTGAAGAGTTACTAAAGAATCTAGTTCAGAACTGTGGGGCTAAAGGAGCATAGGAACCATCTCATCCAAATCTTTCATTTCACAAAGCAGACACCTAGAAACTGGAAAGAAATGGCTCAAAAAGCAGATGGTGAACTTTTGGCAACACTGGGATTAGATTGTAAAGCTTCCAATTTCCTATTCCTGGTCTACTGCTCTCTCCATATATCCCCATTGCCAGAGAAAGGCATGTCATCTAAATCATTATATCATAGTGGCTGGGTTAATCCTGAGGTGAGAAAAAAAAAGGTCACTGTTATGTAGAGGGAATTTCCAGAAATTGCCTGAATTTTCTTGAAGGCTAAGGTCACTCATAGAGCTCTCTGATTTCCTCTCTGATCAAAAAGCCCAAACAAAGCTGCGGAAGCCAACACAGCCAGCAGATATTTTGTAAGGAGGCTTTACCTCTGCCTGGTATTTTGTGGGGCAGGAGAGGGGAGGGCAAAAGTATTAAATTTAGGCTTAAAAGCTCCTCAGAAATTCTTTACACACAAGAGACCAAATTGGAGAAAAGAAGATGACTCGTGCCAAGGGGAAGAAAGAGAGAGGCTAATGCCTGTGGTTTTCAAAGGTTAACAACAACAACAAAAGCCCAGTATTTGCACAGGGATGAATGCTTATTGGCTCTTGGCCAACAATTATACAAGGGCTTGTGCCCACATCCTGTAGCTGTGGTTTAGGGACGCTGCTCTTGAGTGACTTCGTATGCTTAGTGGCAGGAAACTTTAGTCACTGATGTGTAAATTCACCTTTGGTCTGCACCTCCTACAACGTGCTCCAAAAGCAGTTAGGGGGCCAGGTCTCCTGATTTCCTTGGAGATATCAGCTCCTCAGAGGCTAAGGAAGAGCACCCTTTACTGTCTTGGGAGTGTTTGGAGACTCAATCAATACTTATCTTATTCCACTCGATTGTAGCAACAACCCCTTAGAACAATTCTGTAGCCACAAAGAGGAAGGAATTATGATATTCTCTGCTAAACCCTTGCTTTAGCCTTAAAATCCAAGGACCCCCCCCCCCAAAAAAAAAAGTGAGCTACATTTTATTTTAAGGCTGAAACCATTGTGAAATTCAAGGAGAGGCAAAGACGTGAGGTTGCTTCTGAGTCTAGATTTTGTACCTGATGAACTATTTTATACACAATCATAAAAAATTCTTAGTAAACATCTTGCAAGTCTCCTTTTTAGTGAAGCCAACTAGAATTTGCAAGAAACTGCTCAGAAATCAGATGGTGAATACCTGGCAAAACTGGGATTAGAGTCTAAAACCTCCAATTTCCTATTTCTAGTCTGCTGCTTTTTCCAAATATCTCC